TTTTAGAATTGAGGTCCTCATAATTGGGATTTCCGGCATTCTGAGGTCAAGTCAGCGTGTTATAATTTCTCATTTCTTTTCCGAACCCCCTAGATCTGCCCCAGGAATGGATGTTTCTCACCCAGAGCAAAAAAAAAAGAGCTATAGGGAGTTAAAATAACTAGGTTTTAATGTGAGCAAGTGAAAATGATGTGTCTTGTTTTAAAGGGTTGTGTAAACTTATGAACCTTCCTCTATTGATATGTGTAAAGTTAATGATAGTGTGAATGTCCTGGGGAAAGTGGATACTCTAGAAAGTTTCCTACAGGAAGGTTATACCCGATGTCCAACCCCTTACCCTTTTGTATATCATTTTGACAGGAAAAGCTACCCCTTTCTTATATCATTCATTGTACCCCTTTTCAACATTGCATCCCTTTTCTTTTCTTAACCACTGGAATGAAGTTAATGAAGATGTTAAAGGGGAACATCAAGCATTACCAGAAGAGATGCTAACCTAAAATACTAGTATTGTTTGTTCAGTTCATGTTGTGGCAGGAGTCAAGATACTCTGATTTCCCTACCTTTTTGAAAACCTCAAGCTGTGAAACCCCTACCCTTTTGCATACCTGAAAGCCCAAGAAAGGTATTCTTTGAGCCAGAGCCTCCTTGTATAGGCTATTATATGGAGTACCTCCCCCCACCCTTCCCAGGTGTGAATGCCAAGGAAATAAAGAAGTGATAAAAATAGAAGAATGAGTATGAAGGTCATCCATACAGAGAATTAACAAACCTAATCAATAAATGCTACTAATTTTTCGCCTGTGCTAGTCTATTACTTTCCTGAATTTCAGACAAAACAGTTGTCTTTCAATGGTCGCTACTACCGTTCAAACCGATTGTGATAGAAAACGTAACCTAAAGTGTTCCCCATTTAAACGGTTCGGGGCATAAAATTAATGGCTACGGTTTTTGCAACCTCGATCCCAGGCTCGTTCTCCTTTGCCTCCCTGGTAAGGAAGAGAGAGCCTGTGATCGAGGTTTCGGTTTTTGATAAAAACGTTAACAAATCACGTTTCCCGTTATATTGCGAACGCGTTGTTGGACGAGTGAAACGGCTTTTTTTTTTAAAAGCGTACGATGGACAATAAACGAGTCCAACGCTTTTGATCGTTTAGCATTACAGTGGAACTCCGTAATCCGGTCACCTACGGGCCACAAAAATCTGGCCGTATTAACGCGTGCCGTGTGAAAGGGCTTCTTAAATAAGAAAATGGCTGAGTGAGCTTTTACTCGAGTCGGAATAAAGTGGCCAAAATAACAAGGTGACCGTATCAACGTGGCGGCCGTATTAATTGTTTCTTTAAATAAGATGACTGACTGAGCTTTTGTTCTGGTCAGAGTAACGTGGCTGTAAACGAGGTGGTCGTATTAGCGGGGTGGCCATAAGGTGGGGTTTCCCATGCCAGAGCCGGTGGTCTAGCAAAGCAAAATCAAAGCAAAACGTCAACTTATAAATTGCTTATCACCGCCAGATAACAGTTGCATTTCCTGTCTGATTCGATTCGTCGTCATTTTCGCAAGAACTCTTCGTTACTGATCTGACTGAAAATACTGCTTCTAGTGCTGCAATCGGTGATAGACATTCGTCAAGGTTTTTTGTTTTCCGATCTGTTTTTTCACTTTTTCTACGTTACTCTCTAAGGACCAAATGGAAACCTTTTCTTAGAATTTACCGAATATTTACCGTAAATTGCCTCTATTCTGTTACACACTTTTTATAATAAGAATATTGCTTTTTTTCCGGCCCAGGCTGAATATTCTTATTTTTTCTACCGATTTTAGGCTGGAAATATTCTTGTGAGTATTATTGGATTAACATATGACATTTCCATTTTATTGATTTTGATGGCGTTGAAGTAATTTTGGAGCCAGATTGCATGCAATGAAGCAATAAATGTTTATTATATGGCAAACAAGAACAATTTAATTCGTTCAATGTGACTGGTTTATACTAGCTGACATCAGTGCTTGCGAACGGACATGAGCTGAACTTAAATCTGCCAAAGTGTGCTCATCCTCTTCACTTTTTTTTTTC